AAAAAAAAAAAAAAAAAAAAGACAGCTCCTTTTTACATACTTATTAGCATAATTTCATTTTCCTTCATGGTTTGTGCATTTGGGAACTTAAGAGAGTCTTTCTTACCGCATGTCATGAAGATATTTTCTTGCATTTCATCAACTCCCTTATTAGTTATATCTTTCACATTTAAGTACTTAGCCTACTTGAAATTTTCCTTTACATGTGGTGTGAAGTAGGGATGGATCCACCTCTGTTTTTCTCTATGCAGTAAGCCAGTTTTCCCAGTGGCATCTGCTAAAGGGCATTTTTTTTCCTCCACTGAGTTGTGATTCTACCCCTATCATACATAAAGTTTTGTGTATGTGTGCATGTATATATGTGTTTGTGTATATACTTCTGGTCTCACCATTCTGTTCCATTGGTCTATTGGTCAGTTCCTTCCTACTTAAGTAGTACAAGTAGTACAATTCTTATTGCTATGGTTCTGTAGTATGCCTTACTCGCTATAGGACAAGTGTTCCCTTTTAGCTTTTCCTCTTCAAAATCGATGTGGCTATTTGTGGATCTTTATTCTTCTTTATATCTTCCAAGTATTTGAGTTTCTCAAAAGCATTTACTGAGCTTTTTATGGAATTGCATTGAATTTTATTAATATGGAGAGTATTAGATTTTTAAAATATTAAATCATATTATCTTTTCATGATTTATTGCTTCATTTATTCACATATTTTTGAATGTCCTTTCGTAGACTTTCCAGTATTTCTTCCTGAAGGTATTTATTTCCAAATGCCATATGGTTAGGTTTTAACTGGGCATGGATCTTATTTTCTTTCTTTCTTTCATTCCTTCTTTTGTTTTTTTTTCTTTCTTTTGGTTGATTATTGCTGGAATAGAAGAAGGCTATTGGTTTTCGTAAGTTTTTCTTGGATCTGGCAATTTTACTGAATTCTCTTATTAATTCTAATTGCTTTTCTCTTTGTTCTACTGGATTTTCTGTGAAAATTGTATTATTCTTAAATACTGGTAGTTTTGTCTCCCCTAATCCTTACGTCTCATATTTCTTTTCTTTTTTTTCTTTTCATTTTCTTTTTTTTTTTTTTTTTGTCTTATTGCATTGGTGAGGACCTCCAATACTATGTTGAACTGTAGTGGTGATAGTGAGTATCCTCTGAGACTTAAAGGGAGTACATCATCAGTTTCTCTGTTAAGTAAAATGTTTCATGTGGGTTTTTGGTAGATAGAGCTTATCAAGTTAAGGAAGATCCTTCCTATTCCTTGTTTTCTGAGAATTATAATCACAAGTAGGGATCTAGCTTTATTGAATACTTTGTAAAATTATTAAGATAAATATGATTTCCTCCTCTCGACCCCATAAATATTTTAAATTAAAATGATACTGTTTCTGATGTTGAGTCACCCTTAACATTCTTAGGATAAACTTTACTTGGTTACGGTATATTTTGTTTAGTTCATTTTTTAAAGTGAACTCTTATGTGCATTTTCATTTGCATTAGCATGTAATTGGCCTTAATATTCTTTTTTACCGTGTTTACAATTCCTTAAAGTTCTGTTATGTCTGCAGTAATTTCTTCTTTTTCATTCAGTATTTTATTTACATCTCCTCCTTTTTTGTCGGTTTGCCAGAAGTTTGTCTATCTTGTTTAGTCTTTTTAAACAGCCAGTTTTTGATTCAATGTGTCTGAAGTATCTCCTAGCAATCCCATCTCTAGGAAGCAGTGAAATGAAGACCCTGGAGCCACCTAGGACTGAGTTCCTTGCTCTGCCACATGGCAGCTTTATAACCTTGGACATAGGACTATGGCCCCTATGTGTGTTTACTTCCTCATTTGTAAAGTGGGAATAACCCTTTCGCAAAATAGTTGTGCGGATCAGATTAGAAAATTTACCTAAAGCACAGGAAACAGCCTAGGGTGCACTGAAAGTATTTAGTACATGTTAATTCCCATCCTCAGTGCCTGTATTAGTCAGGGTTCTCCAGAGAAACAGAACCAACTGGATGGGCGTGTGTGTGTGTGTAAGAGATCCACCGAGAGACCGAGATTGATTGATTTTAAGGAATTGGCTCATGGGATAATGGAGATGCGAGGCCAAAGCCTGCAGGATGGGCTCTCAGGCCGGAGACGCTGGGAAGAGCTGCAGTTCGAGTCCCCAGGCCGGTGTGCTGGTGGAATTCCTTCCTGCCTGGGGCGGGTCAGTCTTTCTTCTAAGGCCTTCAGTGGATTGGACGAGACGTACCTGTACCCACATTACGGAGGGTAATCTGCTTTACTCGAAGTCCAGTGATTTACATGTTAATCTCATCCAAAAAAAAACACCCTCACAGAAACATCCAGAATAATGTTTGCCCAGCCAAGCAAACACATACAATTAACCAGCACGGTACCTTTGTTTGTGCTGTGCCCTTTCCCTGAAATGCTCCCCTTGCAGGCCCCTGCTAGGCCACATGACACCTGTACATAGATTAGAAAAAGGCGACCCTTCCCAGGGCAGACGCAGCTCCCAGTCCCCTCCTCAGCCAGTGCCCGTGTGCAGGACACACTCGTGCAAGGCAGCCCAGACAACCTCCCTGCTGGATCTTCCTCCTGCTCCTTTCTCTCGGTGCCAAAGGCTTCCCATCCTTCACAGTTCAGCTTCCTTGGTAAAGTCTTTCTTATTCTCCCCTGACTAGAAGTAATCTGTCCACTCACCCACCCACCCCAACCCCACATCACATGTCACGCTCTTAAAGGCATTTATCTCATGTCTTAGTTATTTTGTGCACAGGTCTTGTCATTCCACTTGGATTAACCCCTTGAAACAGCGCTGTAGCTTATTAGTCTTTAGGTCCTCTCTCTGCCTGTGGGGCTCAGAAAGAATTCATTCTCCCTTCATGAGTGATTATCACAGTATCAACCTCAAAGGAAGACGCTGAGGCAAAATTAGCATAGAGAGTTTATTTGGGCCGAGATTTAGGATGGCATCCCGGGACACACTTCCAGGTTTCCTTGGGGAGGCTCAAGTTTTTAAAGAAAAAAGGATGAAATCAGGATTTGGCAGGGGTCGGGGGTGGTTGGGGGGGAAAACCAAAGTCATTGGTCAGGAAGTCTCATTGGTTTACAGAAACAGCGTTGTCAGTGATTGGCTATACATTGTTTCTTTCTTTTTCTTTTTGAGATAGAGTCTCACTCTGTTGCCTAGGCTGGACTGGAATGCAGTGGTGCCATCATGGCTCACTGCAGTCTCAATCTCATGGGCTCAAGCAATCCTCCTGCCTCAGCCTCCCAAGTAGCTGGAACTATAGGCATGCGCCACCATGCCTAGCTAATTTTTGTATTGTAGAGTCAGGGTTTTGCTATGTTGCTGAGGCGGATCTGAAACTCCTGAGCTCAAGCAGTCCTCCTGCCTCAGCCTCCCAAAGTGCTGGGATTATAGGTGTAAGCCACTGTGCCCAGCCTACCTTGTTAACTGTATAGAGTGTGTAGCATTTTATGGCTACTTAGAGTCAGTCTAGAGGCCTCATACAGCAAGTGGCTTCAAGCCACTTACTAATAGTAATTATTTAGCTTGAAGGGGAGTGAGACATGATAGCTATTTTATTTTATTTTATTTTATTTTAAGATGGAGTATCGTATTGTCCCCCAGGCTGGAGTGCAGTGGTGCAATCTCGGCTCACTGCAACCTCCGCCTTCCTGGCTCAATCTTTTCTCCTGCTTCAGCCTCCTGAGTAGCTGGGATTACAGGCGCCTGCCACCACGCCCGGCTAATTTTTGTATTTTTAGTAGAGACAGGGTTTCACCATATTGGCCAGACTGGTCTCAAACTCCTGGCCTCAGGTGATCCATCCACCTCTGCCTCCCAAAGTGTTGGGATTACAGGCGTGAGCCACTGTATCTGGCTGCTATCACATTTTAAATGCCTCTCTGGGCCTGGTAATTTAAAGGGTCTCTCATTCTTCAGATAAAACAGTTTTTTTTTGTTGTTGTTGTTTGTTTGTTTTGTCTTTCTCAAAATGTAAGAGCTGTGAAGAACTTTAAATGGTATTGTGTAGGGCAGGGCACTGGAGTCTTTAGAGTCAGGGTGATGGCAGAGCACACGTGTGAAGGTGGTGGCACAACCGTGATGGAGGCTGATTGAGTGCACCTGGTGCCAGGTGGGCACTCGGCACTTTCTTTTTTTGAGATGGAGCCTCGCTCTTGTCCCCCAGGCTGGAGTGCAATGGTGCAATCTCAGCTCACTGCAACCTCCGCCTCCTGGGTTGCAATGAGCGATTCTCCTGCCTTAGCTTCCTCCCCAGGAGCTGGGATTACAGGCATCCGCCACCATGCCTGGCTAATTTTTGTATTTTTAGTAGAGATGGGGTTTCACTACATTGGCCAGGCTGGTCTCAAAACCCTGACCTCAAGTGACCTCCCCACCTTGGCCTCCCAAAGTGCTGGGATTACAGGCGTGAGCCACCGGCCCTGCACTCAGCACTTTCATGGTGCATCTCACTTAGTCCTGAGACAACCCTTTGAGATCTAGGTGCAGTTGTTAGCTCTATTTTGCGGCCAAAGAAGCTTGGGCAGGCCGTGGCATGGGGATACTAGCCTGGTCTTCCTGACTTTAAGAGTCCGTCCTTTCAGTTGCGAAGGCAAGCCGACTTCCTGGACTGTATAGCAGTTACCATTAACTGAGGACTTACGACTTGCCAGACGTTGTGTTTGCTGCTTTGCAAAGTTATCCCTAATCCTCAGGACAAAAGTGTAAAATACAAGGTATCCTCACTTTGCAGATGAGGAAACAGAGTCTCATTAAGGTTAAGTGACTTGCCTAAGGTCACAAATAGGAAGTGGTGGATCCACAGTTAAAATCTCTCCGACCTCAAAGCCGAGGCCTTTTCCTCAGCATCACATGCACGGTGTTCGGGCCAATAAGAAAACCTTCAGCTGGAGTGTGGAGCATGGTTTGTGTAGGCAGCTGGAAGTAGCTGTGGCTGGAAAGGTGGAGCGGCCTCAGGCTGCATAAACCTTGCCTCCAGGGTGGACACTCAGGGCCGATTTTTGTAAATGAAGGGTCCTGAGCAGTGACTTTGATTTGAGGATGGGGTGGTATGGGATAGACACCTGAAGGCCAAGAGAATCCAAGCCAGCAGGAGCTCTGCCTGGATCTGTGCCTGGGGAAGCACAGAGCTTCACACAGCTACAAGGCCATCGGCGCATCCAGGCCTGCTGAGAAAGTGATGTTAGAGCAGATGTGTGGCTCACAGACATGAGCCCACCCCTGGCATCTCAGTAATGGCATCTCCTTGTGCCTGCTTGTTTTTCTAGGGTGTCAGGAGCAACTTTCCTCAGCCCCCTAGATCTCCCATGATATGGCTCATTTCATTTCATTTCATTTCAGTTCAGTTCAGTTCAGTTCATTTTTTTTGAGACAGAGTCTCACTCTATCACCCAGGCTGGAGTGTAGTGGCATGATCTTGGCTCACTGCAACCTCCACCTCCCAGGTTCAAGCAATTCTCCTGCCTCAGCCTCCCCAGCAGCTGGGATTACAGGTGCCTGCCACCACGCCTGGGTAATTTTTTTTTTTTTTCGCTCTTGTTGCCCAGGCTGGAGTGCAATGGCACAATCTCGGCTCACTGCAACCTCTGCCTCCGGGTTCAGGCAATTCTCCTGCCTCAGCCTCCTGAGTAGCTGGGATTACAGGTGCCCGCCACCATGCCCAGCCCATTTTTTGTATTTTTAATAGAGGGTTACACCATGTTGGCCAGGCTAGTCTCAAACTCCTGACCTCAGGTGATCCACCTGCCTTGGCCTCCCAAAGTGCTGGGATTATAGGTGTGAGCCACCTCACCCAGCCCCGATACAGCTTTTTAAGGGCTGCTAGAAGACCCCCAGGATGGGGAGGTGGGGATTTGTCCAGGAGGAAGTACAAGCACACGGCCTGCACCCCCAGGCCCATCTCCAGGGCTCAGATGTGCTCAGAGGTCGGGGGATGTGAAGCCCCAGGAATGGTACAGGTGGAGATTTTGGCTCTTGGCCACAAGTGACCCCAGGGCAAGGTGGTCCCGTCTGAGCGGGGCTTGCCTCTGTGGGCGTGTAGACACTGCATGCCTCACCAGTGCCCTTCCCCACCCAGGTCATTGCTGTGGTCATGGACCTCTTCACTGATGGTGATATCTTTCAAGACATTGTGGATGTTGCCTGTAAGCGCCGGGTCCCAGTGTACATCATCCTGGACGAGGCGGGAGTGAAGTATTTCCTGGAGATGTGTCAGGACCTGCAGCTCACCGACTTCCGGATTCGGGTAAGTTGCACCACTGGGGCAGAAAGTGGTCAGGAGATGAGACAGGGACTACCTCTGCCCCTCCTGTGGCTCCCCCCTGCCTCTTCCCTGATGGGGGCTCAGGTAAACTTCAAGATCTCAACACCTTTCCTTCTGTTGAAAGTCAAGCCTTTAACCTTGGCTTTACTGTTAACTACTGAATCATATGCCCAGTTTCGATTTTATCCCTAGGCTGCTGAGACTGAAGGAGGCAGCTCTGGCCTGGTCCTGGGGTGCTTAGCTTGCAGAATCACTGACTTCAAAGTGAGGGCTGTTGTTCTCTTCCTGGGCCTTTTGAGAACAGGCAGGAACCACCCTGGGCTTGTCCATGCCTAAAGCAAGATTTGGGGACTTCTTCCTGCTCACCAAAGAGGGTTCCCTATGGAAGGCTGTAGGAAGCAGAGCGTCTAGTGAAGACAGGAGCCTGCAGGCAGGGTCCATAGACAAGCGGGCTCTTCCTCTGCAGAAGCAAGGACCTGGCACAGAGGCCGGCCCAACCCGGTGACGGTGCCTTCTACTCTTCCCAACAGAACATCCGTGTCCGCTCTGTGACAGGCGTCGGCTTCTATATGCCCATGGGGAGGATCAAGGGGACCCTGTCATCAAGGTTCCTGATGGTGGATGGTGACAAAGTGGCCACTGGATCTTACAGGTGAGTTGGGCTGGGTCAAAGAAGGGCCCAATCAAGAAGGAGGCCTTGAATCCAGGTAGGTGTTCAGGAAGATGCCAGACTGGAGCCTCCGTCATCATGAGTTGTAACTGGTATCGTCTGACGCAATGGCAAAGGACAGCTTTCTGCCCAGTCCCTTCCCTCAAACTTCCTGGTTGATGGATTATTCTAGAAAGAGGGTCAACTCTTCCTAGGCATTATCCACTGCCTGCTTTTCATGGTCCATTTGCAGCCAGTTGCATTTTGAGGCTGGTTATTAGATAGGACAAGCAGGAAGTGGGATGCACCAGATCTGGAAAGAAACGGGAAGATGTGGTGTGCAGGGAATGTCGCCAGAATTTTTTTTTTTTTTTTTTTTTTTTTTTTTTTTTTGTGAGACGGAGTCTTGCTCTGTGGCCCAGGCTGAACTGCAGTGGTGTGATCTCGGCTCACAGCAACTTCTGCCTCCCGAATTCAAGCGATTCTCCCGCCTCAGCCTCCCGAGTAGCTGGGATTACAGGCGCCTACCACCATGCCCAGCTAAATTTTGTATTTTTAGTAGAGACAGGGTTTCACCTGGCCAGGCTGGTCTCGAACTTCTGACCTTAAGTGATCCACCCACCTCAGCTTCCCAAAGTGCTGGGATTACAGATGTGAGCCACCACACCTGGCCTCAGAATTCTGATTTTAAAATAATTTACCAGGAACACGAGAGACTGTATCTGTGTAATATCTGCCCTCCAAGTAAATTAAAATATGGGTGATGAGAAGAGAGACCTGAGCACACGAAACTATGAATAGCAGCGTAAGTCCTGTCACATGGTCAGAGTATGGGTTTCTGCAGACACTAAGTGCTTAAAAAAATCAGAAAAGAACCAATACAGAGTAGAATAATATTCATAATAGTGGCAGCTGCAGTTACTATTTTTTAAATGTGTGTTTGTGCCAGGGACTGAGCTAAATGTTTTATATGAGTTACTTCATTTGCGCCTCACAACAACCCTGTGAACATATGTCCTGGGAGCCCCAGCTTACAAGGCACACGAGAATATAAACCAGGTTTGAATGCCGGCCTGACTTCCCATGCTCTTTCCCTGCACCTACTGCCTGCTTGCTTCATTTGAGGCCAAACTCTGGGGAAAGGGAGTCTGCGGGTGAGTGGAGGGAGGCCAGTCCAGAGTGTGGCCCACAAGGAGCCTTCCACCTGCGGCAAGGGTCTGGCCACAGCGGAGGGGCGGGGGGCGGGGGGGCAGGGGCAGGGCAAGAGAGAGGCCTGGGCACATGCCTCTTGCTTTTCTATCCCCACGTTCCCAGGTTCACCTGGAGTTCCTCCTACGTGGACAGGAACCTCCTCCTGCTCCTGACAGGGCAGAACGTGGAGCCCTTTGACACAGAGTTCCGGGAGCTGTACGCCATCTCCGAGGAGGTGGACTTGTACCGGCAGCTGGGCCTGGCGGGCAGGATTGGCCTCCACTACTCCTCCACTGTGGCTCGAAAGCTCATCAACCCCAAGTACGCCTTGGTGTCAGGCTGCCGCCACCCGCCTGGGGAGATGATGCGCTGGGCTGCCCGGCAACAGCGGGAGGCAGGCGGCAACCCGGAGGGGCAGGAGGATGGTGGCAGCGGTGGCGAGTCAGCCCGGCGCCTGGAGAGCTTCCTGAGAGACCTGGTTACGGTGGAGCAGGTGCTGCCCCCTGTGGAGCCCATCCCCTTGGGAGAGCTGAGCCGGAAGGATGGCAAGATGGTCTCTCACACGCACAGAGACCTAAAGCCCAAATCCCGAGAGGCACCCAGCCAAAATGGCATGGGAGAAGCAGCCCGGGGGGAGGCCGCCCCCGCCAGGCGCTTCAGCAGCAGGCTCTTCAGTCGCCGAGCCAAGAGGCCTACGGCGCCCAACGGCATGGCCAGCTCCGTCTCCACTGAGACTGTCCCTGAAGTGGAGTTTCTGACAGGGAAGAGGCCCAACGAGAATTCCAGTGCTGACATCTCAGGTGAGCCCTCTTCCCTCTGGCCTGGTGTCTCCACAGGCCTCTGACCCTGGCCCCACATTGGCCCTTACCCAGGAGCACTGCCTCATACCTGCAGAGGAGCAGACTCCATCTGTGGGCACAGAGGGCAGGAGCTCTGGGGTTCCTGGGTCCTTGGTTCCCATTCTGGCCTCAGCCTTTAGCTGCCTGGAGGCCTTGGGCAGGTCCTGCAGCTCTGAGTTTCATTTTCCTCTTCTCTGAAAGAAGAGAAGGATCCCAGGCTTGGCATGGAGTGGTCTGAGGGCTTCTGCTACTACTGCTAGAAGGCGTTCAGATCAGCCCTCATGGTAACCCAACAAATCAAATAAGCTGAGAAACTTTCTCCTTTGTAAGAAAAGAAACGGGGGCTCCGCACGGTGGGGTGCATGGCTGCGACTAGACCCCGGTTCTGAGTTGAGGGCTCTTTCTAGCAAACCTGCTTCCTTGCCAGATCACCTATTGTCAGGATCTCACCTGGTCAGACACACCCCGCCTTCCCCTGTACCCTGCCAGAGCCCTGACCCACTTTCCTGTCTCTGTGATGGGCAGTCTGACTTGGTTTCTCCACGTCCCTCTGCTGAGTGCTGTCTGCCCGGCTGCTTGTCCCTGGGTGGGATTGTTCCATGGCAGCATCTTCCTGGGCATCTCTCTGGGATCCCCAAAAGGCCCTGGCCTTTATGTGTCTCTCCGCAGCAGTCTCTGGGGTGACCTTTCAGGTGGCTGGTGGTGGTGCCTTTCTCATTTCTGCATCCCTGAGTCAGAGGACTTTCCGTGGTGGGATTTCTCCGTCCATCACTGTGGAGCCCAGTGATGAGAACTTGGCTCTGGCTGGCCAGGTGGGCAGTGACAGGGCCTGAGGTCTTGTGTGCCCAGTCCAAGGGCTCCCCGGACTCCTGCATTTCTGCACGCCAGCTTTGACTGGATTGTGATGGCATGAGAGCAGGGAGCACAAGTGTCATCCCCTCTGCTGATTCCCCAGCACTGCTTTGGAGCCTGACACACCCAGTCTGTGCTCAGGAAATGTTGGCTAACTTTGCTTCTTGGAGTTCGAACAGGCCTGGGCGCCTCTGTGGCTGTGGGCACAGTGGGAGCGCCAGGGCGTTCCCTCCATTTGGCCTGGGGATGGTGACTGAGCTGCTGGCCTGCCAGGTCCTGCACAGGCGCTCTCTCTCCCCTTCAGCCCTCACAACCACCCTTCAAGCACAGAGGTGGCAGGTGGCTCGGAGAGGTGAATGAAGTGGTCCCAGGTCACAGGAAGTGGTAGTAAGGCCAGGATTCAAGACCAGGCCTGGGCACAGCCATGGTCTGTCAGGGGAGGGGTGGCTGGCCCCGTCACTGTTTCTCCTGGGCTCCCTGGCTCCCCTAACGCCAGCTGCTGCTGCTGCTGCTCAGTACCTCTGGTTTGGAGGAAGGGTTGCCATGGTGAACACCTGGCAAGGGAGGGAGGGGGAAGAGGGGAAGGAGGGGGAAGCGGGAAGGAGGGGGCGAGCCCTACAGCAGCAAGGGCTGTTTCCCAAGTCCTGAGTGAAGTGAAGTGGAAGCTTTCTCTTCCTTCAGCCCCTCACCCTGAGGTGTGGTTTCCATGGAAACTCAAAGCCCATTGTCTTGTCCCTTCCCGATGCCTTCTGCGTGTCCCTCCGCATCCATGTCCCTGCTCTCACCTCTCGGGTGGTCGCGGCGGCCCTGCCCCTGCTGCCGCTGTTTGGTGCCTGCACACGGTGCCCAGGAACCAGCCTTGCAGATACGGACGGGGCCCTCGGGAAGCTCCTCTCCAGGGCACCTGATGCTGGGATAGAGAGAGAGAGGGAAGAGTGAGGGCGAGGGCACGGACAGCCCGGAACCATCACCCCGTTCCTCGTCCATCCTTTAGACAAATATAGAACAGCCTCCTCCGGCACGTCCTCTGCCCACCTGGGTGGGCCCCCAGTACCTGCAGCCCTGAAATTCACACACCTTTCCTCTCCCTCCCAAGGCCTGGGGGAGAAGCAGCAGCTCCTCTCCTGTCTTTTGTTGTTTTTGTTTGTTTTTAAGACAACCTCTCGCTGGAGTGCAGTGGTGCAATCACAGCTCACTGCAACCTCAACTTCCCAGGTTCAAGCGATTCTCCCACCTCAGCCTCCTGAGTAGCTGGGACCACAGGTGTGTGCCACCAAGCCTGGCTAGTTTTTTAAATTGTATAAACAGGGTCTCACCATGTTGCCCAGGCTGGTCTCCTGGCCTCAAGTGATCCTCCTACCTCCGGGCCTCCCAAAGCACTGGGATTACAGGCACAAGCCACTGTGCCTGGCCAGGAGCTCCTCTCCTAAAAGGCCCTTTTTCATGGCCTCCAGCCTCCCACACCATGGCCAAGTGGGGCTGCTTCAGTGTTTCCCCTCAGGCAGCAGCAGCTAAGCAGCCAGGACTGCATATGTGAGAAGGTGGGGCCCTGAGAGCATGGGACTCCCACGGTGGGAATCAGTGAGAACCTGAGCTCCTGCCTTTGGACCCCCACACAGGGCAAGTGTCCCCTTCCCCTGGTAAACGTTCAGAACCTCCCAGAGCAGCTGCCACCTGGCTCTCAGCTCAGGACACATTGCTCGCTGTACCCAGGACACATCCGTCCCCTCCCTGGGGCTGTGTCCTCATCTAGAAGAGGACGGGTTGCACCAGGGAGGGTTTCCGAGGTCCCCTGGAGTTCAGATTCTGCCTCTGTTCTTTCTGTCTGTGCTGCCCTCTTGTCAAGGGAGAACCTGGGTTGATGACAGGTTCTGTCATAAGAGAAAAAATAGAAAAAGCTCAGAGCTGACAGCCTGTAAAATTGCTTGATAAGGAGTATATAGTTGTCAAACAGCATGCAAATTTTTGCAAACCCAGGTGTGGCCTTTGGGAGAACCTTAGGGAAGTTGCTTCCTCCTTTGGGGCTGGGGATCCAGCTGGGGGCCATGGGTGCCCAGCGGTTTCAAGGTTCACGGCGCCCTCTAGTGGCAGAAGCTAGGCACCTCTTCCTTCTGCGTCTTCCCTCCGCCCTCACCTGCTGGGAGTGCTCATGTCTTCTGGAGCTTCTGTGCCCTCCGTGAGCTCCACACAGGCTGCCTGGGTCAGGGGCCCCCAACCTCACAGAGCAGCCTCAGTGGAGAGCCTTGGTAAAAATGCAACGAGGCCAGGCGCGGTGGCTCATGCCTGTAATCCCAGTGCTTTGGGAGGCCAAGCTGGGAAGATCACTTGAGCCCAGAATTTCTAGACCAGCCTGGTCAACATAGCAACACCCTGTCTCTTAAATACAATTTTTTTAAATTAACTGGGGGTAGTGCCATGTGCCTGTAGTCCCAGCTACTTGGGAGGTGGAGGAAGGAGGATCACTTGAACCCGGGAAGTCGAGGCTGCAGTCAGCTATGATTGAGTCACTGCACTGCAGTCTGGATGACAGAGAGACCCTGTCTCAAAAAAAAGTAAAAGTAATATGAATTTTAAAATGCAACAAACACGCTTTGGGAGGCCAAGGCAGGTAGATCACCTGAGGTCAGGAGTTCGAGACCAGCCTGGCCAACATGGAGAAACCCTGTCTCTACTAAAAATACAAAAATTAGCCAGGCATGGTGGCACAAACCTGTAATCCCAGCTACTTGGGAGGCTGAGGCAGGAGAATCGCTTGAACCCAGGAGGCGGAGGCTGCAGTGAGCTGAGATCGCGCCTCTGCACTCCAGCCTGGGTGACAGAGCAAGACTCCATCTCAAAATAATAATAATAAAATTTTTAAAGATAAAAATAAAATCCAACAAATACAGTCTGTACCGCTGGGCGGGGCTTAGGACTCTGCATTTTAAATTAGGGCCCTCATTTTCCAGTGTAGCTCCCCCAGTGTAGAGGGTCCTCAGACCAGCAGACTCCGCAACGACTGAGGAGACACAGATGAGGTCCTGCCCTTGGAGTGCTGCCAGCCTAGGGGAGGAGGTCCCTGTGCTGTGCCTGAGACCCCACCCAGTTCCCCCAGGGAGATGACTGGGAAATGGCCAACACTTTTGAAGTGGCGAGAGACATGGTGCCATACGCCATCACACAGAGCTGCCGTCCTCCTCACTGCCATCCAGTCTGATGATAGCATCTCACAGTGAGACCCCCAAGGTTCGGAGAGGCCAGGCCCTGTGTCCATGGCCGCCCAGGGTGGAAAGGGCAGTGTGGTCTCCTGCCTCCTCGGCCTTCTGCAGATGTCATAGCCATCTCCAGAAGGCTCGGGTCGGCACCGTTTCCCTGCACCTTTAAAGACTGTTTGGGCCGGGTGCAGTGGCTCACGCCTGTAATCCCAGAACTTTTGGAGGCCGAGACGGGCAGATCACCAGGTCAGGAGATCGAGATCATCCTGGCTAACATGGTGAAATCCCGTCTCTACTAACAATACAAAAATTAGCCGGGCATGGTGGCACTTGCCTGTAGTCCCAGCTACTCGGGAGGCTGAAACAGGATAATCTCTTGAACCTGAGAGGCGGAGGTCGCAGTGAGCAGAGATCGCACCACTGCACCCCAGCCTGGGTGACAGAGCAAGACTCTGTCTCAAAACAAAAAAACAAAAAAAAAGTGTTTGGAAGAGCCAGAGCCCCAAATAGAGGACGGACCCTTTCCCCTGGTGTCGTGGGGGTTGAGAGGAAGATGAGAGCAGCAACTTGCTTCCCAGAGTGCCTCAGATCCTTTCCTGCTCCAGAGCCCCTGGACCTGTGCTTTGCTTCCCAGTTTCTCTGAGGTGACCTGCAGTGACAGTCCCTTTCCGGAACTCTCCTGGAGTCCCTGGATTTATGTGTGGATGGCCCCCTGGCTGGCTGGCAGTCTGTAGAGCGTGACTGCCAGGCTTCTGGACTGGGGCACTCGTTCTCCTGTGTCATCTCTTGGGGCTGCGGGTCTCAGATCTCTCTCCTGCTCTTGCTGCATCTGGTGCATCTGCTGCTGTTATTACTGTTATTACTAGGATTGCGCTAAACCCCTAAGTAGCTCGCCATTGCCGTCTCATGCATTTTATTCAATAAATATGTATCTACGAAGTGTCTGCTCTGTGCCAGGCCCTGCTGTGAGTTCCTGGCACAGCTGTGAACAGAATGAACATGGTTCCTGCTTTTATGGAGCATGTTACCCTGGGCAGAGACCAGGATTGTGAGGGGATGGCCATTCTATGAAGGGTGTCAGGGAAGGCCGCCCTAACCAAGGAGCCTCAGAACAAGACTTGAATGGAGGGAGGAGGGCCCTGTGGACATCCGAGGGAAGACTCTTCCTGATACAGGGAATGTGAAGCCCTGGAGTCTGTGCATGAAGCTTGCACGTCATTGTCCTTGTCATGGCTTCCGTGTGGGTGACCTCTGCCTCCCTCTTGCCCGCACCGCCTTACCTGGCAGCAAACCAGACTGACTGCAGGTCCCGAGTGTCCTAGGCTGCCACCCTCACCCCGTGCTTACGTCACACGGCTTCACTCTGCTGAGTGGCCCCTCCTCCCACTGTGCACCCATTTTCACCTCCACCTTGGTGTCACCTCTGAAGCTCCCAAGCCACACATACTTTGTAAAAAAGACTATTCTGGCCATTTATACACCTTCCCTGTTCACCTGAGCAGGGCTGACTCCCCACACGTGGTCAGCTCACAATACGTGAGCACTCAGGGAATGACAGGGGACACACAGTTTGTCCTCAAGCCAAGCCAGTTTCTCTGTCCTGTCCGGGGCTAGGAAATGAATTCTGAGTCTAGGTGCTCTCTCCAGGCTTTCACCCTGCCTTACAAAAAAGTGGGGAGCACGATGCTGGTGAAGACGGGCCCTGCCCCTGCCTTACCCAGGCTTCTCCTGGAGGCAGCCAGCTGGGCGGTGTGCAGGCTTGGGAAGCAGCTACCCCCTTCACCACCCGCCATTCCATGTCCAGCTATACCACCTCCCCTGTTTAACTATCCGGAGGTTGATTCGCTTACCTGCCTCCAAAATGCTGCTGCCTCTGGGGAGGAACTGACATCTGCTTAGTGGGCCACGCAAATGAAACCAGCTAAGGAGGGGAAGTGGGGATGGTTGTATCCGTTGCAGCAGCGAGTGAGTCTAGGACGGCTGCGTTTCATCCCACTAGCAGAGCCACCCAGACGCGCTTGGCATCACCGCGGAAGGTGACCCCCAGCGCCTTGGCCATGGAGCTCTTTGGGTACAACCTCCTGCCCAAGGGTGGGGGAACACCCTTAATGAGGGTGCAGCTGGATTTGTGGTCAGTCCCGAAGAGCTCGTTCAGTCTGCCTGGATGGATGAGGCCTGAGGCCGTGGGTCACAGTGCAGTGGGCAGGAGCAGCAGCCTGTGTGGCAGGGGAGGGCTCCAAGTTGGACTCTGTTCGGTGGGTCGTGCTCATGGCCTAGGAAAGGAGGCAGACGTGGCCTTAATTAAATTCACAGCTGAAGTGATACTGGAAGGTTGTGTGAGCACCAGGGAGGCAGCCCTTGCTGTGTGGGGGGAACTGGCAGGAAATAACACGAGTGCCTTCCACCTGGGGAAAGGCAGCCAGCGCTCTGCGGACACAGGCTCCCCGCTTCAACGCCCGACACCTCGCAGGCCCACAGGTGTCAGGCCTGCCTTGCTACTCCCCTGCACTCCCTCCAGAGGTCCGAGAGCAGGAATCCAGCCAAAGGAACCGCAGGCTTCATCTCAGGACTGTAAAGGGAGTGGGAAGGAATGGTAGAGGCCTGGGGAAGAGAAATCAGCTTCTCTGGCTGGAAGGGGGGCAGCTTTCTCTCCCCCTTCCCTCCCTACAGGCAGCGCGTTCCTCTCCATCCTCCCCTCAAAGCCGCGCCCTAAGCAGTGTGATCCACCCCATGTGGCAGCTCTTGGCCAGCGCCAGCCCTTCCTGAGGCGCCAGCTCTCCTTCTTGCAGCCTAGGAGGCCTGTGGCAGGAGGAGCTGGAACTGGGCTGGGAAGGCCAGGTTCCGTCGCTGTTGCTGGCTGGCTCTGGGAGCTGTGGACACCTCAGCGGTGGAATGGGGCAGCCGGGGAGGGGAACCGGAGAGAAGGACCACAGTCTTACTTTGCAGGCTGTGGAGCTGCCATGTATTAGCTGGTAGTGAGCGGCCTCTTGGCGAGACTTTTGTGTATGTGTGTGTGAAGGCAAGTTTATTAGAAAAGTAAAGAAAACAAAGAATGGCTCGTCCTTACACACAGCAGCCAAGACTTGGAGTTGATGGCTGTCGTCATTGATTCTGCGGACTGGATCCTTCCCCCACCCCTCTTTGGTCAGGAGATGGTGGTCACCTTGATGTCCCACCCAGTGGGGCTCCTGCCGAGGCTGCTGGGACAGGCAGAACCTTCCCTTCTGCTTTCCCAGGTGCCCTCTACTGACTTGCTTTCCAAATCAGCAGCTTGGGAAGGAGACAGTGACCCCAGCCCCTCAACTGGAGATGTAGACAGTACACAGGGTAGGGACTGAAGCTGAATCCACCAAGTGTTTCACATACATCCTTCCCCACCTCTGTCCTTTGCCTCTGCAGGTAAAACAAGTCCCAGTTCTGCCAAGCCCAGCAACTGCGTGATTTCCTGAGCTGCAGGATGGTGGTGGGCAGGACGTGTGGATGTTCGCCTGCCCTGCCCTGTGTCGTGGAGAGCTCAGGTCGCACACTGCACCAGTTTGCACATCAGACTCCAACTGGCCTCCTGCCTTGCAGCCTCTGTCCTGGTCTCAGGGACCCTGGATCCCAAATGAGAGGGTCCGAAGCATCTCAGTTACACGCCTCCACCAGACTGTCGGTGGCTGGGCAGGGGTCAGTGCCACAGCCTTCTTGTTTACATGAAGTGGAAGCTTGACCAGTGTCTGCTCGCCTTTGTGCCCCACCCCCTCCGCTGGTCGCCAGATGGGGTGAGGGCCATTCTTTAAACCTTAATGGGATGGGGTATCTGGGGCAGCCGCAGTGGCTTCTCCTTTCCCAGGCTTCCTGGTGCTTCTGGTTCCCCCCACTGCTCCCCACCCAAGAGACTGGTGGAATAAAAGGGAAGAGGGCGGGACCCTGAGCCTGGGATCCTAAGTTCCAGTCTTGCTCTAGCCGCCGACCTCCAGGTGTAAGGTGCAGCCGGAACTGCAGGGGCACTGGCTGCAGGGGTCTTCCTGGCCCCGGCCCTGCAGGCTCCTGAACTAGACTTGAATGAGGGGAAGATCCCGCGGCCTCCCCCAGCGAGGGGCAGAATTTGATGCTGCTGTTCTGAGAGCACTCATACTGAGGTCTCTTTCCCTGCTGGTGCCGTCCTGGCAGTCTCAGCGTGAGTGGTCCAGGCCTCCTCGGCTGCTGCCTGCTGCAGACCTATGTGGGGGTCCTTACAGTGCCTTTACCTGGGACTGTTCCTTCCCTCAGTCGGTAAACTTTGGTTTACAGCCAAGGCAGGGAGGGGCTTGGCTGAGAGGGGATTGGGGGTATGGGAGGCTGGGCCCTGAGGACAGGAGCATTTGCCTTTTTTCCCCCAACTCTAACGGGGTCCTCGGACCCCTTCACCAACCAGGGCTTCCAGGTTACACTTTGGCCAAAGACGGGCCTTCGCCTCCTGCGAGAGTCAGGCCATGTTTAGGAGCCTGTGCCTCGCCAGAGCAGGTCAGCCTAATTGCCATGAGGCTGGGCCGGGAGACCCAGTAAGCAATTCCACTCTGCCCTCCCCACTTGGGTGACTGGAGAGGGCCGAGGAGAGTTTGTGAATGGACCTGGGAGAAATTGCCAAGCCGCAGACTCTGTGAGCCGGCCCTGCGGGCAGGGCGATGGGGGATCCGAGCCCTGTGAAAGAGCCATGAGGCAGTGACCTCTGAACCAAACTCTCATCCTCTTTCTTTCCGTCTAAAAAACCCTAGGACACTACCAGCACCTGGGGGAGAGGTACAGATGTCTGCAAGGCAGCTGATGTGAGAGCCAGAAAAGGGGCTGCTCTGGCTGGGCTGTGAGAGCCAGGCATTGCTTCTGAGGAAGCAGGAAGTAGGGACCACATGTGGCGGCCATTGAGGAGACCGATCTCTCTGGCAGTGGGGAGGGGAAGGGAAAAGAAGGGTGAGCCTGTCCCCAGGGTCTTCTCTGTTAATCCCAAGGCTGGCTTCTAGGGCGTGTGGAGAAGGGACTCTGGCCCACCTCCCTGAGCTTTTATGAAGATGAAATGCTTCTGGGAAGTGCTTCCTTAGGTACCAAGGCCAGGCAGTGTGGCACGAACTCATTCTGGAGGGGAGGGAAGGGAGGGGGGAGGTGGGGTGTGGGGGTGTTACACCTCAGCTCGAGGGGGACACCTTGAAGGTATGGGACATGAAATGTGTAAATTGCAATGGGACAAAGAGATCACTCTCTGGTGTGGAGGGTGGGTGCCTCTGGGGATGAGGAAGGTGGCCTGGGGAAGGGACCGGCCTCCAAGCAAGTTAGCCAAGGGCATCTGTGCCTCCCTTACCAGAAGAGCAGGCCCTGCTTTGTCCCTTTACCCCCTCTAGACCCAAAGCACACCCAGGTCCCTCCCCTGCCCTGACATCTAATCTGCAAGGATCCCTGATTGGAATCTCCAAGTCACTGCAGCCTTAAGCCAGGCCTTCCTTTCTGCCTCAGTTTCTCCATGTGCCAAGATGGGGTTTTTCACACTTTCTTGGTAGAAATGATGGGGAGACCATACGTTAGAGAGGAAACAAGTTGGCATAGTGGGAAGAGGGCCAGCCACAAGGCAGGAGTGCCCAGGCAGGGTGCCTCTCCCTGCTGGCCCATGTCCTCATCCTTATAGCAGTGTGGACAAGATGGTGTCTGGCCCCACCCGCTTCAAAAGGCTTGAGACAGAAACTGTAGTCCGAGATGGCAAGGATCTTGAACTCACAAAATGCAGCTCTTCATGTTTGCCTGTCTGCCTAGGCACCGGCCCACTCTGTTCTGCCTCTTGGCTTGTCAGCTGTGAGTACGCCTGCCCTCTGTTCCAGCACTTGCACATACTTTGTGAAGTAGTCTCTTACTCATCAAATCTCAAGGGGACATCTGGCCCTCCCAGTTGGATGGCAAGTTCAAGGGTGGATCATGCCCTTGGTCCCTGTACAGCAGCTTCCGCAAGGCTGGTTACATTGGAAGGGCTCTAGGAGGAACAGGATAAAGCAGCACTCTCTGGGCTGGGGTCTGGCTTCACTGCCCACCACTGCACACAACCACCAAGCTGCTGTCTCACTTTCTGAGTCAGCTTCTGTAGGGTAAGTGTTCACAGCTGGTACAGCTCTTTGGGAAGCCTCACCTCCCAGTGAGCTGAGCCCCTGGTGTGGCTGCCACACTTGCTTCTGCCCCATAAGGGCAGGAAGCACAGGACTCCTGGATGGGTCTGGGAGCCTGCCCCTTGTGATTTGGCAAAACCTCCCATCTCCTTAGCTACCTGTCCTTAGGGTATGGTTAATGCTATCTCTAATCCCTCGAGGGCTTTCAAGATAGCCTCTGTTAACATCACTACGATCTGTCTGGGTAGAACTTTATAGAAAGGCTAGGCAAAAAATGAGACCCAGAGATACGGAAGAAACTGGCCAAAGAGGGGAAGTGGGCTATTTCTTTTTTTTAAACTGCTGTATTGCTTTTCTCTTTTTCATATTTGTTGAGCACTTGCTATATGCCAGTCACCGTGCTGGATGCTTTAGTAACATGAAGGTTTCAAACTAAGAAAAGCTGAAGAAAGAGCCCTTTAGAAAGTTAGCAGTTTTACCGTGTATTGGGGGAGTGGGCCTCATAAAGTTGTATGATGAGAGGCACAGGTAATTTTGTTTTGTTTTGTTTTGAGACAGTGTCTTGTTCTGTCGATCACGCTGGAGTGCAGTGGCGCCATCTCGGCTCACTGCAACCTCCACCTGCCGGGTTCAAGTGATTCTCCGGCCTCAGCCTGCCGAGTAGCTGAGCTTACAGGCATGCACCACCACGCCTGGCTAATTTTTGTATTTTTAGTAGAGACGGGGTTTCACTATGTTGGTCAGGCTGATCTCGAACTCCCGGCCTCAGGTGATCTGCCTGCCTCGGCCTCCCAAACTGCTAGGATTATAGGCATGAGCCACCACACCCAGCGTGGCTAAGGTTCATTATCCCCATCTTTCAGATAAGGAGGTACACAGCTCTCCCCAGATCCCACATCACAGAGAATGCAGGTCTGAGCCTGTTCCTTGAGCTCAGGGTCTCGGCAATGGTGATGCTTTGGAGCCGCAGAATCCTCTGTTGGTTACGGGGCTGCCCTGTGCATTATAGTACGTTTAGCAACATCCCTGGCTTCCACCTACTAAATGCCACTAGCACCCCTTCAGATGAGACCACCAAAAATGTCTCCAGATGTTACCACATGTCCCCTGGGGAGGGGGGTAAAAGTGCTCCCGTTGAGAGCACTGGCTCTTTTCTTTGCGGTCCTGGCCTGGCGGCCTGCACAGGCCGTTTCTCTGAAGCGTTTCATGCACACTCTGCCCTGGGTACCTTGGATACAGCACTCTGGCCCAGAGAGGTTGGCTGACTTGCCTGAGACGCTGCTTCATGGGAGACGCAGTAGCATCTTTCCTTTCTGTTCTGGTTGTCTTGCTTAGTTCTTTACCACCTTATATTCCTCCTGACGGGTGTCTTTATGTACACACATCTGCCTCACTCCACTCAGCTCCCTGTCAGGTTTCCTGCCAGTCTGTCCCTCTTCCTTCAGGCTCAGCTACTTCCTGCACAGACACTACGACTGCACATACCTGAGTGTGCCCAGCGGTGGACCCACCTCCAAAAGCAGCCAGTGCTGACAGCAGAGAGCCTTCCACACTCAAGTCAGGCCAAGTGGGAATCGCTACCTGACTGTCACGACCACATTCTCAGTGAACATTGACAAAGCCCCCTTCGCAGCTAATTAGCCCTGCCGTGCACTAGGGATGCAATTTCTCATCTGGCGGTGCGCCACACTCCTGCCTCCCTGCCCAAGGACCCAGTGGCTGCTGCTGATCATCTGCACTGCTGTTCCAGGGGCAGGAGGTTTGCTGCAGAACAGGTGACCCCAGCTCAGTGAGTGGAGCCAGCCCAAGGTTGAGTGAGGAGAAGGGCAAGAAGGGCAGGCACAGCCATGAGGATGTTCTGGGGCTAAGTAACCGGGAGATCAGCCCAGAGACCTTGCACAGTTAGGCAGGCCTGGACTTCTTGCCCTTCCCCTTGCAGCTTCTGCCCTCCCAGCCAGGGACTGAGGAAAGCCCTGCTTCTAGATGCCATGTGCTGCTACCTGGCACGATAGGTACCCATCTGTCCTTGGGGTTCCTGAGCCTGGAGAGCGTGCTCTATAAGCACTGGTGCCTCACTGCCTGGCTCAACTTTGCAACCATGATATATGCTTAATACCTATTTGTTAAAGGATTGAAGACTGCCATTCAGTACAGAGAATGAGCCAGGCGAAGAAACAGGAGGTGTCATACAGGTTCTAGAATCGGTCATAATCCTTTCGGTCTCATTCCTGACTTTTAACACCATATATGCCAAATGGGGTACTGCTGTGATTTAATTTCTCAAGGACTGGGTTTATCAAAAGTCCTTCCAGATCTAATCCTTTCCTCTAGGAAGGCTTCTCCTTTCCTCCTGTGTCTTAAGTGCCTGGTCTTCATCTCCTGGGTGGTCCAGACTAGGTGGCACTGGGCCTGCAGGCCTCTGGCTGCTCAAGGATAGCCCTCTCTGTGTGCTTCCTTTCAAAAGCTAGCATAGAAAGGAGGACCCAAGGTGAGGAAATTTGTCCAAAGTCACCCATTGAGTCGCAGAAAGGGCTAGAGTCTGGTTATCTGGACTGTCCTAGAGCACTTTCGCAGTGACAGCCAGCTGGAAACAAGTTTTCATCTAGAAAAATGGCTAGAAGTTAGGGCATTGGCTGCAGTCACTGAAAAGCAGCTTTAGGAGCAGATGTCCATGTACTAGAAGGGCTAGGGCCTGCCATGGAAGCCAGCAAGCATATGGGAGCTGGGGAAGGAAAGGAGCAAAAGGCAAGAACAGGTAGGATGTCCGCGGTGCCCACGGTGCTGTGGGCACAAGCAAGGGGGAAAGAGCCCATCG